GATATGCAGCGATGCAGGAAACAGTTCGACGTTTTCCGCGAACGACTGTCAGGTTATTTTTTTGTCTGCCTGATTCCTAATGTCAACATCTCGTCGTATAATGAGCCTTTTTGTTTTTTTTCTTCTTTCGTCGTTGAAAAGACGAGGCTCCAGGACCCGCTGTTCGACGAAGTTAGCAGTGAGACGTTGCTGCATGTTTGAGGCGCCTGGAGAAGTGCTGATGCAACAGTGAGAATGTCTTGCCCCTGACATCTGCCGCTCTACCTTTTTGTGGTTTCCTGCGTTCGGGCTTCTTCTGTTTTTTGGTGTTTTGTGTTTCGACTCGAAGTGCTAAAGTCAGTTTGTGGAGGTGAAAAGAAGTGTGGACTGTGGTTTTTCACAGAACCGGCTAACCAAAAGCGTGTGTCACACGTTGAAAGCCTTGATCTCACTTTATGTGCCACCGCTACTATCTTAATGCTCACTATTTCTTTTTTTATATCACTGAATAAAATTACCTAAACATGGAGGTGGAAACTTGTAATGAAAAAAAAAAAAAAACACTCACATAAATGTGTCTGCTTTCTGTATGTTTTCCACTACCCTCCCATTCACGTATTATTCCCTTATTTTGCTTTAAACATCAGGCTCCCTTTCCCCTGCAGTAATCCCTTCTTCCATCATTCGGAGCGTGCAGTAGGTGCTGTGATATTCAGAAGGGAGCTGAAGGAAGATAAGAGAGCCGTCTGGAATCTATTAGCCAGTGGAAGCATCGGCGCTGCACTGTGGGAACCTTATTGATTGTCCTCCCTTATAATCATTCCACCTCTTTTCCCATCATCTGGCTCAGGCACAAGTCATATCTGCTTCTCTCTCGTCCTGTTTTCCTCTATTTTTTTTTCCTGCTTGCTCTTATTTTCTATTTGGCTCAATTTCTTAATGTAATTCTCACGGCAGCTGTGCTTGATTAGCCGCAGGTGCTCCATACTTGGATTGGCTGTTTTTCCAAATCAAGTCTCGAGCTTTTAATGGACGAGTCCAAAGTCGTTTCCCCCCCAAAGTTCAGGCTGAAATTACTGGAACTAATATTATAATACTAATATTCTCACTCAGGATGCTTCCCGCCTGGTCTGATTCTAACTCGTTGCTAAATTTTAGAGCATTACTGCCGAGACGTAAAACTGCTATTAACTGCTTTTAATCATTTTCATAATAAAATGTAATATTTACCCATCTGCCACTGTGGATATTGCATTCATATTCAAAGAACAGCAGTAAATATGGGCTCCTTTCTGATAAGTCAATAAGAAGCTTGCAAAGCTTTGACGTCACCTGGGCTTTCATCATTTGTTCAGATACGTTCTCATGTCTGTCTACGTTACTCTAAAGAAAGCAAGACAAACTAACCTGGAAAAAAAAAGAAAACAAACAAAAACATTTGGTCTCATTTAATGACAGTGGAAAACATAATCACATGCATCTTTTTCTTTAAGCATATGTGAATATCTTGTATCGTCAATTAAGAAATCACAGGTTCAGCTCATGGGATTTTCTGAATCACAAGAGAGACAGGGAAAAATGCAGGAGCATGTCAAAGACCGTAACAGAATGTCTGGAAATCTGGGTTCAGATCTTTGTGTTTTTATTATTTATGAGCAGCTGCACCACTAAGGTCTTAACATGGGCCTGAGCAGTTTATCAAAACATCAACACGATATCGGTGTGCTCAATTTTTATGTTCCAAAAAGACTTTGGGATCATGGATTCATATGGTGCTTGGCGACGATGCATTCAGTCTTTTGGAGTAACCCTGCAGTTAGTGCTGAATGACGCATCGCCGTCAATGTTCGGTATTCAAATGGTTGTTTGGAGCACAATGATTGTTGTTTTTCTAGAGTTACAAGGAGAGATTTTTCTCGATAAGTGTCATATTTAGCTCCGACTGGACATAAATGACATTGTCCAAAAGGTCAGAGTGACGGAAGCGCAAGTGACAGCGAAAGCAGAATGAATAAAATCGGCATGTATCCTCCCCACCCCCAATGTAATCACTGCAATATTTACAAATATTACTGTGTTTGTAATAGTTTTTATAATAACCTGCAGGGGCTGACGCTTACACAAGGAACAAGTGACTGAGAATGCGACTTTTGAATATCACAATCGATTTGAACATCTGTTTGGAATGATTTTCTTGTCCGTCTAAGATGACGAAATATGAAGAGTCAAGAACTGTAGATATTTTTAGCTTTGGGGCTAAAATAGTTCATTCACAAAAAAAAAAAAAAGTACACTTTGATTTTTATTTATTTTTTTGACTTTTATTTTTTATTTTATTTTTATTTTTCTACTCAGTTATCTGCAGCTGGCTTTCGATTCCTGAGATTTCCTCCGATCCTTTTAGTCATACGCAAACAGCCGTGATCAGAGTCGAATCCAAACCTCCTGATCACGGAAGGTGGTTGGTTCGCCTGAAATGAAACACTGCTAAACATCTGCAGGTGGGACTCGCATTTTTTTCAGCCGACCTCTGCGTCTGATGTAGCACAAGCTGTAATTTAACTAAATGAGACAAATAAGATTGTAATTACTCTGTTCATAGGTCATTCACTGCCTGATTCATGCTGAACACATGTGCTCTCGGAAAGGCAGCCTGTACAGAGGACAAGGCTTCGGTAGATGTCCCGGTTTCACACCAAGAACAATCTTTTAACGCAGATGAGAAAGTGTTGGCGCTTCTGACACCCATCGTCTGTTTCCTCTGAGTCCTTCTAAATACACATTTGCTTTTGGCCAACTTCAGAGAGTTTGGATTCAGTCAAGTCTCTCAACGCTGATGCCAACCACTTTTCTGCCCCGAGGCCTTAAATGGACGAGAAGCAGAACGTTTGATGTTGGCTCTATCAGCGGTTTGGCGTTGCTTTCTGCTTCCTGTCGCAGCAGTGGCGAGGTCTTTTTGTTTACGTGTTTGTCAGCTTGATTCCGGAAAAAACTACCTGGCCGCAGCTCATGAGTAGTTAGCTGCGAGGTAGAGCCCCGCCACAGGAAAAACCCTGCATGCCTCTCCGCAGCCTCCTCTGACTGTTACTAGTTTCTATTTCGCCTGTGCAAAGTTGGCGACCTTGTTTTTTTTTAATAAGAGGAAAATGGTCAGACAGCTGCATGCAGATGGTGTTGGTTATGACATCAGGTTTTTTTGTTGTTGTTGTTTTACTAGCAGAAAGAAACCTCTTCTAACTTTGAGCTGAGATTAATTTTGGTTACCTACATGCCCATGTGGTGGAGGAGTCAGTGGTTTGAGTGCTGCATGCAGATTTTGACTTTAATCAGGCCCTCAACTCTTCATTGACTGGACATACGTGGCTTTAGTTTAACAAATATCTTAAAAGAGAACTGATTGTTGAAGATGAAACTTATGTTTGTATGTAATTCTTTTGGCCTAAGAAGCTGGAGGCAAGAAAAAGATGAATTTTTATAGTTTCATTTTTAGAACTGTGACGCCTTGCCAAAACAAGTTGCCACAAAAAGCTGAAAAAAAATCCAACCTTTTATTATAGCACATTATTATAGCCGTTGTCATCTTGGAACGTCCCAGTACCGTCAGGGGAGACTCTTCTGTGTTGACTGTGCAAAAACGTACCTCATTGTCGTTCTTTCTATTATGATGCCACTCTACTAAGCTGATATTTAATCAGGCTTTTTGCTGTCAACTTTTGGACAGACATGCTGCTTGTTGTATGTGTAGTTTGGTTCAACGTTGCCTTCACAAGAGTGACGGGGCAGGGACTCTTGAGTCCAATTCTTCATTTTCGCAGATTCATGCGCTATTTTAACTGGTTTCTCAACATTGGTCGTCCTTCATCCTGATTGGCTTTTCCTTTGCAAGTCAAATGTGAACTAAAGAAGTTAACGACTAAGAGGAAACAATAAACCAAGTCAAAGGAAACACAAGCAACGATTGTTGGGAAAGTCTTTTGTCTAGCACTGCTTTAGCCATCTGGTTTTAAAACTTTAAAACCAGATGGGGTGGACTGGGGTGGACTTTATCGCCACCTATGGGTGGAGTTTAGATATTTCAGCCTAAAGAGTCAAAAGCATATTCAGTAAGGCTCAGATCAGCTCTCCACAGATTAAACTCAGAGAGAGTTTTGACGTTTTTCTTTTTCCAAAGTGGAGTAACTGCACTCCAGAGACGCACTTCAGATTTATACTTGTGTACTCAAGGTAAACACTCAATTTCTTGATTTTCACTTTGCTTTGTCCATCAGTGCATTTCTAAAGCGCGTAAATCAATAGTTTCCATCTGCTAAAGTTCTTCTTAACTCAGAAATGTCACCTGATTCGGCCTCGTTGAGTCGATTTCATCAGAAGAGTTGAATCCCTCATCCTGTTAGGTGAGATTTACGCCCGTTTGGCATCTTTCAGAAATCCAAACTGATGAAACGCATCCAGTTCCTCTTGTGTCTGTGGACCCTGTCACATCCTGCGGTGTCTGGTTTACAAAAGGCTCAATGTTGACTCAGTGCTTGTGAAATTTATGAACCTTTGGATGAACGTAAATTTGTGAAGTGAGACATTTCTCGATTTTTCCCAAAACCCCCCCAAAAAGCCAGAAGGCTGCTCCTCCACTTGTTCACCAACAAGTCGCTGAGCAGTCGTCAAACATCCGTTTAGATGTGCAGATAACCGAGCTAAGTTTGTGGATGCGTCTTCTGAGCACAGTAAGAGGTTAATCTAATCTTCAGCCATCTGCAGCATGTGGCTGAGCTTCATGCACAATTTTTGTTATAATGGTATCTTCTTGTATTTTTCTTTTTTTTATCTATTCAACCTCTCCACCCTCTGCCCGCTTTGACCTGCTTGCGTCTGCAGTGATGCACTCTGACAGGGTCAGCATGGGTGGATTTTGTGTGCATGGGAAGATGCACCGTTTAGCAATGCCGTGTTTACCGTTTGTTTGTTTGCTTGTGGTTAATAACCGACCCACTTATGGTTTTTGTTCTCACTTTGTGTCTCTGCAGGAAGTTTGGGGAGCGCCCTCAGCCACAGCGCCTGACAAGGTGAGAAATGTTCTGCTGGGTTTTTGTCTCTTACAATACGTAACGTGCGTTAATTCTCATGTTTTGGTATGTTTGTCCAGCCGCTTGGAAACTGAAGTGTTTGGTGACTTAAGTGTAGTGAGAATTTCGTATCTAATGATCGAAGAGCTCAAAGTTCTTTCCCATTTTGACACGTTGCAACCACAAACTTCAAAGTATCCTGCTGGGGTTTTATGTGGTAGGCGAACACAAGCTTGGACTGCAACTACTAGTTAGGTTTGTAATCGATTAATCTCATCTTCTGGTAATTAATCAATAAGTCAGATGATTAATTGGCTATTCTGATTAATCCATCGGCTACAAAAATTAATTGAATAAAAAATTGGCACTTTCTGCAAAGTTTTCATTTAACCACGTCAGCCTTTTTATACAATATTAAAAATACATTAAAAAATGTAAATAAACAAATAATTCCGTTTTTTTTATTTATGGGAAAATAAACATTTTACTCCCCAAAACTGAGTGACAGCACTCCTTTAGTGTACACTTCATTATTTGTAGCGAAGGGTGCATCAGGCTACAGAATACAAGATTATGTTCTGGTTAAATGAAACTAAAACTGGACACTCGACATCACCCTGAAACACAGTGTGTCTTTATGGGAACACACAGTGATGACACCATTATTCTGTGGGGATTTTTTTAAATTATTTTTTATTTTTGTCAGTAGAGACGGGAAAGAGTCTATAAAAAGCTGATGGAGGCTGGAAAAGACTTTTGGCTGAAGTGGAGGTTCAACTTCTCCAAAAGTCTAAAGATGGCTGAATTACAACAGATGCTTTTCCTTTCAGAATGTGTTTCAGAAAGTTTCGTTTAGCGTCACAATTAGACTCTGCAATTTTTCCTCGTAAGATAAAATTCCAGTGAAATCCACGTGAGGGGCGTTGATACTTTTCCGTGACGCTGAAGTTCTGGTGATGTTGCCGCGTTGGCAAGGACTGCTGTGCATCTCTGTCCGTTGTTCCCTGTTGTATTACATCACAGTTGCTCCGCTGCCATTGATTATGGCTCTGATCTCCGCTGAGACTTTCCTGTTCATAAGCCTGTGTGGAAACGAGCTTCTTTCTCACAGTTTGCTTGTTGGAATGTCAACCCTCAGAGGCCGGACTTCTCCTCCATTCTCAGTCTTCAGCTCTAAAAACGCGAAGCGTCGAGCGCGACCCCGCTGCAGGTTTTCGGAGCGTTTCGTTTGTCCTAAGTTGGCTGCGAGTCATTCAGCGGATGCTGCGGCTCGCTGTAAAGCTCTTGCATGTGTTTCGCTGTTTTTGCTTGTCATCTTTGTTATTTGGAACAGGTTATTGGGTTTTACGTGCTCACATGTGCTCGGCTTTCGCACATGGCTCTCGGCGAGGAAATTGAGGGGTTGCATGTTGCCTGGAACAGCCGAGCTTTGGGTTTTGAGGAAAAAAAAAAAAATGGGGCCCTAGCACCTTTTGATGTGTCCCCCTCTTTATTCATGTGCTGCCAGTTCCTGGCTTGCAAGTGGCCCTTGGGTTCATGTGATGGTTTTTTGATGGCCCAAAATATGACAGACATGGAGCTTGCTCTTTGTCTCTCTCTCTCTCTCTCTGTATCCTCTAAAACGGTATTTAAGTTCAGCTTGTGGTTGTACCACTGTGCATCGTGATGTTCTGCTCTGTTTTTTTCTTTTTTCCAATTCCCCATTTCTAAAGGTTTTGCTACATCAATTTTCCACTTTTAAACGTGGCTGGATGACTTTCTGTTTGGCATCAGCCCTGAACTCAGAGAGAGTACATCATCCCTTTTTAGGGGCGTCCAAAGTTAGTCCACAGAGAGGGTTGCAGGTTTGAGTCTGTATTTGTGCGAAGGGGGAACTGAAGCACCGGTTCTGTGGAAGGACGCACAGCTCGGTTGCTGTGGATTGCTTGACAAATCACCCAACTGTCACAGCAAAAACATGTCAAAATCTTCTTTTTTGTTGTTGTTGTTGTTGTTACAGTTGAGTATTTCACACATTTTAAAATAAAATGACCGCAGTTAGCACTGAGTGGGATTAAATATTAAAAGGAAGAAAGCTGTTCAACTACCAATTACTTCAGTTAATCTATCAATTATTATGATGATTAATCGGGTAAATAATTTTATTTTATTTATGTTTTCTTTGACCACTTAAACATTTTCTGCACAGTATTAGGAATAAATTGAAAGAAAAGAAGAAATACAAAACTAATTCATGTCCATTTTTGAAAAAGGAAAAAAAAAGCATCTTATTGCATACAAATTGTATAGGAAAGTAATATATATCAGAATATATTCCGATATATTTCAGGTCATACATTGATGAATATATTATCCTTTGGGAGAAAAACCTTTAGAAAGAATGGTGGATAAAAGTCTGGTGCATTAAGCTCAACTAGCTTCTCTGTTTTAATGTCAGTTTTATTTGCAGAGACTTCAGTATGCATTCTGTTTATTTTTTTGTTTGGAGTAGTTAAAATGTCTTCCTGTTCAAATGCTAAATATGTGATGGTACTTAAATTTCATTGATATCTGAGAGAGCTCTAACTGACATCATCATGCTATAGCCATTGTATCACTTGAAAATGGTTTCAAAACAGCAGTGCTATTGTCTATTTCAAACATTTTTTTGGAGTATTTATCATTCAGCAAAATTTGCTATTGTGACAGGCCTATGGAAAAGTATGGTGGCCTTTTTTTCCCCATTATTATTATTATTATTGTTAGTAGTAGTTGATTTGACCGCTTACATGAGTTGCACAGTACACTGCGACGATGCAATGTCAAATGATCCAAAATGCAAGACATGTTTAAAACTCTGTTTAGCAGCTCAACCTCCATTTTTCTAGGAAATGTACCCTATTAGCTCACATTAATGGCTCAAATTAATCAAGGGATTATTCAATGCAGTGTTAGATTGCTAATATATTGGATAGCTGCAGCACTAATTGAGGCATACTTGAGCTCGGTCCGTTGGGCAGATGCAGAACGTCACAAGCTGATAGACCAATAAACAAATGTAGAAAAATTTCCATTGCTTTTGAAGTCAGTTGGAATTGAAAATCTTACATGTTGAAAATGTTTCCCTTGCTGCTCAGCTCAGATTTTTGTTTAAAAATCCGTTAAGGTTTGGGAGATTCAGTCAGCGGGCTTCTGAAACTAGCTGAGGTTTTTCACTGTGCATGACCATAAAAGGGTGCCCCCTGTCTACATGTGCGTGTGCGTGTGTGTGTGTGTGTGTGTGTGTGTGTGTGTGTGTGTGCGTGGCAGTGTAGGGACAGGGACAGTCCCACTCTGCTTTAGCTGCTGTTGCAGATAAAAAGCCTTGACTGCTCCTCTGCATCTGAAGACTCATTCAACTTAACCTTTGCTGACACAAGCAGACACCACAGTCCTTCTGTCTGTTTTGTTAGTTTTTTTTTTTTTTTTTTTTGTGGTCTCTCACCTCGTCCCCTTTTTATTTGTTTCATCTGTTCTCCTTTTCTCTGTTCTCCTTCCCTCTGTCCCCAACTGCTGGAGTTTCTTCTCTTAGAATAAACATGCAAATTTCCTTTAAGCCCCCCCAAAAATGACAGGCTGTCATTCTGCTAATGCATCAGATTATTTGTGATACTTTCTTTCCTTTATTTTTTTCTTTCTGGAAGGGTTCTTTATAAACAATTTTTGCTTAATTTCCTTAAAAGACTGGATGCATGTTATTAATTTCGCATGCTAAATTTCAAGAACATGTTTTTTTTTTTTTTTACGTTTGTCTACACGCTAGTTTTCCACAGGAAGTTGGTTTGTGTGAGCTGGTCACTGTCTCACTTCTCCTTCCGTCTTTTGTGGTAAAGGAGACACAACTTGATGCTCCGAGTGAGAGCCAGTTGATCCTAGAAACACCAGATTTGATCAGCTCTTGTTTTTTTTTTTTGTCTGTATAAATTCTCCTTTGACAGCCTTGTTTTCTAGGAACCAAACTTGTAGCACCTTTCTGCAGAAATCCGTGTGAATCAAATATGTTTAGTAAAAGTTTTACCTTTTCACTGTGCACACGTTTTGCTGCAAATAACAGCAAGACGTTGGCCAACATGTTGACCAACGTTTTCCCCTTGTACCGTGTTTTAGGCGACGCTCGTGGACTCAACTGAGAGTCAGCGTCCTTCTACGTCTTTGTTTTCTGGAACAAAGCTGAAAAGTTCAGGAATCGCCACCTTAACGGACTATTGCTGTTCCCTCCAGGAAGTCGCGATTACAACTTTTATCATTCGCAAATTTTTTCGCGGACTTTCAAGTCATCGCACCTTTTCTGTAAATCTTACAGATCACACTATCATTATACTGTACTTTGTTCTTTTTTATGACCAATCACAGTTTTTTTTTATGTTCTGTTGGATTTGCTTCTCTTGTGCATTCAGTTCATGTTAACTTGAATGATGGATGTGATATTCTTCATTTGCACTTCGACAACTTCCTTCCTATATTTGATTTCTATTAATAGTGCCATTTTAAGAAGGTACTTAAAAATGTTATTTGCATGTAAAATATAAGTTAAAAATCCAGTTTTTTTTTGTTTTGTTTTTTTTGGGAAGGTTTTGTGCATCAATTTCAAAATCTTTGCAAGATCATGTTAAGGCAAAAATAAAGCTTCAAAATAGTGTGACTTTGGCCCCACTTTTAAAGAAAGAAAATGCAGGAAAATCCGATATTTCATGCCCCGATAATCACAAACACAAAACGATGAAGGGTCTGAATAACGACCATCAGGGTGAAAGCTTCAGAGTCGTTATCCTTTTGAGCTAAAGCCGATCTGTCTCGATAGGCGAAGGTTGCTGCAGCGGTCTGGTTCTGGTTTGGTTTCTTGAGCTGTGAAACAGTGTTAACCAAAAGCCAGTGGGTGCTGCACATAACCAAGCTGACACTAGTTTCTTATTCTAGCAGCATGCAGTACACTGGAGGAAGATCTGAAGATATGAGTACAGACTTATATTCTTTTTTAACACCTCGAGACAGCTTGAGGTGTTTGTCCTTCTCTAACTAAACGATGGTATTTGAATCTGTCAGACAATGAAGGGCTGAGAACACCAGACCCTGACCTTTATTGGTTTCACACCAACCCCAAGACAAAGTTTAGAAAAAACAAACACCTGTTGGGTGATTTATTTAAATAATTAAGAAAGTAAGCATTGAAAAAAAATGTTATTCCCAGACTTGTCCCTTCCCGTTGTCTAAAGCAGTGGTTTCCAAATTGTCTGTCCCTCCTTTCCTTCCTTCCTTCCCTTTGTCCTTTCTCAATTTCCTTCCTTCTGACCTCCCTTTGTTCTTTCTTCCCTTTCCTTTCCCCTTCCTTCCATTTTCCCTTAATTTTGTCCTTTCCTGTTTGTGGTTTTTGTCAGGTTTCCTATTCCAGTTCTCAATATTTTTGCCTTTTCAAATCAATGTAAAGGAACTAAAAATCTGTAAAGGTTTTAGGGACCCTGATAAATGGATGCTTCAGATCAGTTCACCTGCCTGTTCTTGTTTATAAGATTCGGCCAGTCAGTAATTCAGAAATTGCTAAATTCTGCTTTGCTGTCAGTTGGAAATGTCCAATAAAAATGTCATTAGAGTGAAGTAAGAAAGCCTTCTCTAGTCCATTATGAAATGGATAAACCACAATTCCTCTTGGACTTCCTCCTCTGCTGCATCCCCTCCACTCCCCTAACACACACACACACACACACAGAAAGAGAGAGAGAGAGAGAGAGAGGCGCTCTGAGGAGGCCCCATACTTTTCATAACAAAGGCTCTGAGCCTAACGTTGGAGACTGGAACGGCGTTTGTGTGTGTTGGTGTGTGTGTGTTGGTGTGTGTGAAGTCTCTGGCGTGTCAGGTGTCACTGACATCTGTTCATGTGTGCAGCCTGAGTCGAGGTGTGATGCGGTGTCTCCATCTAAACACGATCTGTGCCTTTTAAGGGGCAAGAAGCTCCGAATGAGAAAAAAAAAACTCCAGAAAAAAAAAAAAGAAGTGTTTGCTGGTGAGGTCAGCTTTGTTGTTGTTGTTTTCCCCCCCCTCTCTCTATCCTTCCATTACTCCTCTCTCGCTCTCTCTCTACATCTTCTGTTTCTCCTCCACGTTCCCGTCTCCTGCTCCCCTCCGTCCCCCTGAGCCAGGCGTTGAGAGTTCAGCCCACCCCCACACCGACACATCTGGGGGAGAGCAGAACTTCTTGGCAAGCGCTCGAGTCTTTTGTTGGGTCATCCTGAGTTCACTGTATGAGTTTCCTCACCTCAGTCTGATTACATGTGTGACATTTGTGCATTCACTTGTTTGTTTGTTTTTTCTTCTCAAGTTATGTTTTTCGATGAATCATTGCAACTCTAATCCAAAACAAAAAACAAACAAAAAAACAACCTTACCTTCCTAGTACCGGTAACAAGGTATGTTGGTGATAAAACCTTAATGTTTCCGTTTTGTTGCAGAGAAGCGATGAGGAATTACCTAAAGGAGCGAGGCGACCAAACTGTCATGATCCTGCACGCAAAAGTTGCACAGAAATCCTACGGCAATGAGAAAAGGTGAGCCCCCGATCGACGCCGGCTCTCTTCCTCTCTCTGTGAACGATCGCCGCACTTGGACGCCACGCTGCCGTGAGAAAGCAACCGTCACAAAACAAAACCCGTTTAACCCCCTCCCCCCCCCCAACATCTCTGAAAAGAGCAGGCAGTCATTAGAGGGATTAACACTGATTGGATGTTATGGATTAGTTCGTCCCTAGGATGCTGAAAACAGAACCGCATGGAGTTTGAGCTCACTTTGGGCTCAGGTGGGGTTTTTTTTTAGTATGGACAAAAATATATTTTTTTCCAAACGTTTTGTTTCTCCCATGTTGCAGAGGAAACGCCTAATAAAGCTCTATAAGTGTGAAAGTTTTGACTTGGATGTAGAGCTGCAAAGACATCATTTTCACATTTGACAAAGGAATACTTTGAAAGGATTTGATCAGGGGTGTGTCAATAAATTGTTCCTGGAGTTATCAGGATAATCAATGATATTGTTGGCTTGAAATCATTTTTAAGCAATACAATGATAATGGCATACTAATAATGCAAGAACACGTTCTCAAGGATCAATAAACTTTAAATTCTAATGAACATTTAACACTAAAAATGGAAGACATGTTAAATATAAAAAATAAATGAACAAAACAATAAATAAAATTAATTATGACATCTCTGCAAACAAGTTTTAAGTTTTTCTTAAAAAAAAGATGTTTAGCTCAAACCAAGCACCAAACTTGGTTTGAGACTTTTATCATTCGGTTTTTTGGTAGAAAGAGAGGAAAAAACAGAAACGATAAATCGGGCCAATGGAAATTGAGTTTGTCTCAATTTATCTTGCAATTAACTGATATATTGATTATTGTGACAAACCGAGTCCACTGTCAACGCAAACGTCTACAAGGAACATTTCGAGCAGCTCGTGTTTCCTCCCATCATCCTCCAGCTGATTGCCTCCGTTCTACGGCGCATTGATGCAGTGATTCAAGCAAGACAAACAGAATTGATCCGACCTTCCAGAAGCGGGTCATTTCTGTATGCACGTACATGATAATCTGATTCATCTATGAGCCAAAGAGATCAAAATGACCAGAAAATAAAAGCTTGGAATATTTCACTCTTTGTGTAATGAATGCATGCGTTACATGACAGCGTTACATAATGTTAGTTTGTACAATATCCAGGTTTGCTGTTTTCTGCTCCAGTTTGCATAAAACTGTTTCAAACTTAATTTTCCAGTATTTATTTATTTTTTTAAGTAAAAGTGTTAATTGTGTGACAGACTGGAGACCTGAACATTGCCTCTCACTTGTCAGTTATCGTATGAATATAACAAGGCAACATTTTTCTTCAGGTTTTGCACTGATCAGCCTTGAGTGAAATCATGGAAAACGCATTGAGCTGAAGGCAGCTAGAGCTGGAAGTTGAACTCCTCCAGAGGGAATGTTTTGGGAAATCGGGAGGAATTTCATTGGTTGGATCTGAGCTGCAGAGCCCGTTGCCGTCAAACTCCTCAGTTCATTTTCTATGCAACACATGTAACTGCACTTCAATCAGCAGCTGATGCAACACCTCCAGTTTTTTTCAACTCCACTCTCTTGAACTCTTCTCTTCTTCCTCAAACCCTTCCTGTAACTCTGCACTTCACCTTTCCACCCCTCGCTGCAACTTTTTATAGCCTCCCGCCCCCTCCTGCCCCCGAAACGCTGCGCGTCTTCATTCCGCCGCGTTTTTTTGGCTTCGCTTGCGACACTGCTTGCAATCTCATCAGGCCGCCTATCTCTTGGTCAATCAAACGTTGGACGCCCACCACCAAGAGCTGGAAAAGATGAATTCCTCAGATAATAGTCTTTGTCCGGCAGGACTTTGCAGGATGCTGCCTTGTTGTTATCAGGTTGCGCCTCTCTGCACGGCTCTCTCTGTTTTTACACACGGGTCTCAAAGAGTGGAGGTGAACGGAGAACCTTGAAGCCCCCTCCTCCCCCCAGGTTTTCGCCGCTTCTCGGTCGTCTGTGCTTTTTATAGGAGGTGAAAGCAGTCAAACACCCACAGAGTCGAAATCTGGATGTTGCGAAATGGCTTGCTCTCCAGTTCCACTTGAACCCAGTTCGTCCAGTAATGAGCCGATTTCTTCTTTTTCAACGGTTTATTTGTGAAGGACTAAAATGTCTAAAATTTATTTTGAAATGTAGTTTTTTTACGCGTGTGTGTGTCTACACCGCAAAGTGCAACAACTTTTGACATGAAGTTGCATATAAAAATATTGAACCTGATTTTATTTTTTCACTGCGAGAGAGATGACACCAGGCTGCCCTCTGCTGATCTAAATTAGGATGCACAACATTTGCTTTATTTTGACCAAAGTTCAATATTTCGGTCAAGTATTGGAGTTAAAATAATGATTTTTACATCTGAAATGTGAACAAATGTTGATTCTTAAAAGCTCAGGGCATATTTAGAGAAGGCTGTCTTGGAAACAGGTAAAAAAACAAACAAAACATGCCACACACCTCATTGTTTCCAGGTTCTTCTGCCCTCCTCCCTGCGTCTACCTGATGGGCAGCGGCTGGAAGAAAAAGAAGGAGCAGATGGAGAGAGACGGCTGCAATGAGCACGAGTCGCAGCCGTGTGCCTTCATTGGCATCGGCAACAGCGACCAAGAAATGCAACAGCTCAACCTAGAGGGAAAGGTACAAATTACACAAGAAGACGCTCAGAAGAAAGTGTTTACTATGGAGTCAGAGCCACTCCTTCTCATCCCTGCAGTCAAAATGAAAGGATGTGACATAAACGGCTGCAAATTAAACACAGATGTGTTTGATTCTATGCCAGCAAGTCACTCATGAAATTAATAAATTCTTTCCTGTTTTGATCATAAATTATTCTTCAAAAATACTTTACTCATCCAAAAGGGGAATGAAATGTCGCTGACTGTCAATGATGGCATTGAAATCATTATTGTGTCAACAAAAAGATATAATGTTGGTCATTTTTAACTGACCTAAAATAAGAGAAGTTTGGTCTAATTTAACTTCAGATGGTGAGGGGAGAAAACAGCTGTGTGTGTTTTCATTCTGTGGATGTAAACTTCTGGTGCATTTCTCCAAATTCGCACAGTGTGCACCTAATATATATGCATGAAACGACACGAAAACCAATCAAATCATGACAAATTGCAGCCCGTCACAATCTGACAGCCTTGTTGGATTAACCAATATTTAGACTTAGAAAGCAGATGAATGAATCTGATGTCGATCGGTCATATTATTTTTGCTCAAAATGCAAAGTGAACTAACTATTCACAATTTCTCCTCCTTCTCCACGACAGAATTATTGCACAGCCAAAACCTTGTACATATCCGACTCCGACAAGAGAAAGCATTTCATGTTGTCCGTCAAGATGTTCTACGGCAACAGTGCAGACATCGGCGTCTTCCTCAGCAAGAGGATCAAAGTCATCTCCAAGCCCTCCAAAAAGAAGCAGTCCCTCAAAAACGCTGACCGTGAGTTGGACCGGTTTCCTCTTTTGTGTCTGTCGGTTCGTAGTTGGAGCACCGTCGTCAAATCTGTGTTCGTAAAACATTAGACGCTACAACACATTTTACTTTTCTAGCAAAAATAAGTCTGCACTTTATTTTTAGAGATGCTCTCCAGGTTTCCACAGCTTATTTTGTCTTTTTTGGTTAGATTTTATCTTTATAAATGTCAAAACTGACAGAACGGAAGTACCTTTCACTGCTTTTAACACAAAATATTAACGTGCAGTTCTGCATACTTCAGTTGGAAAACTACAGCTTGTAAATACTGTAACTGACTGTTTCATGTCATCCATTTCCACCAAAGTAAATTTTATCTGTGACAATTAAATGGTTTGGAGTCAAATAGTTTTACTAAATTGATTTAAACGCATCTAATACGTTGTTTAATAAAGATAAAACTATTCAATATTTTATTCTACTAAGCAGCAAACATCAAACTGAATCATTGTGTCTTCTGGTCATATTTATGCAAGTTATTAAGTAGGAAACCCCCAAATACTAATAAAAACATAAAAAATAAGTCACATGTTATTTAGGTGCATAATTCTAACAGCAGTGCAGTATTTTAACACCCAACAAGGATTTCAAATGAGGGAAAAAAAATTTTGCCCAATTACTTTCTTGACATTTTAACGCAGTAAAATGCAAACCTGGAGTTTAAATTTACATCTTCAGCATCATTTTCTGTCAATGACTCACTTTAGTGCCTCAGAGCTTTTCCAGCGTGAAGACAAGCTCCTCGTTTCAGCAGCTTTTAGTGCTTTTCACTAGCATTCATGGCAGTGAATGCTAGTGTTCAGACCAGTCTTCCTCCCAGGTTTGTGGCTCCATTAATCATCAGGAACCTGTTTGGGCGGATAGTTTCGGAAGTCTTAACGACGTGGAGTCCGTTATCTTTTCATTTGTGTTTGAACTGCTGATGTTCTCTCATAAACATGAGCAGTTTCTTATTTTTATGAAGAAAAAATAATTCTTAAGGGAAAGGTTAGATGTGCAATCATTGGTAATTGTTTTTAAGAGGAAAAAGATTAAGAAAATGTTTTTAATTCTGCTACTTGTGCTTTTATATCTGAACTCTTATTGGATGCTTTTGGAATGTTTTCCTCCATTAAACGTCCCGCATTTTGAACATTTAATTTCAAATAAAGTGTATCACTTAAAAAAAAAAAAAAAAAGTAAGTTAGTCTAACCACCAGGGGGCAGCATCGTTAAATCTACAGTGCTTGTCCAGTAGTTATGTGATGTTTTTACGCCTCTTGTCAGCCCGGTGTGCGGCAGGCCGCGTTCTCCTTACGTGAGCCCGTCTGCTCTCGCCCACAGTGTGCATCGCATCAGGGACCAAGGTGGCGCTGTTCAACCGGCTGCGCTCCCAAACGGTCAGCACGCGCTACCTGCACGTGGAGGGGGGCAACTTCCACGCCAGTTCCCAGCAGTGGGGGGCTTTTTACATCCACCTGTGTGAGTCGCCCTCGCCCAAACGCGACGATATGTCGCTGAGAGACGAACTGAAGTGACTGACTGACTGACTGTGGTGAGAGTGAGGTGGCGGGGGAGCGTCAAGCAGCTCTGATTGGTCGTTTCTTTGCGTTTCCAGTGGACGACGAGGAGTCAGAAGGAGAGGAGTTCACTGTGAGAGACGGTTACATCCACTACGGCCAGACGGTCAAGCTGGTGTGCTCGGTCACCGGCATGGCGCTGCCCAGACTGGTAAAAATAAATAATAATAGTAAATGATAACCGTCTCAGCGGAAACATTAAGAGCAGCAGAAACAGGCGAACATTTTTGCTGTTCCTCCGCAAACGGTAGCTGAGTGACGCTGCCGTCCTGCCTCTGTCCAAACATGTCAAAACCAGACTGCCAGCACCCACAAAATCATGTTACGTTCTCCCATATATATGTATTTGTAGACAGTTTTTATCTCGATTTTGTTTTCCACTCTGAGGGAACTAGATCTTCTCATTGTTCTTTAATTAGCAGGCTGCACAGAGCTGTCGATCTCTTTTGGCATAAAAAGAGTTTATTTCTCCCCCTCTTCATAAACGTCAGACTTTTATTTTGTTCAAATAGTCATTCTTAGACAAAGTCAGCCTTGTTTTTCTTCACTCATGCTGTGACTCATGTTCTTCTGAGCAGTGAACTGACATTTTGTCTTTTCTTCCATCTATTTGTGTTTGTTAACCTCATTTTCTTCTGACCTACATTCCCTTTCAAAAGTATTTGTTCCTTTGGTACTTTTTTTTTTCCAATTTGATCACATTAGCTCTACAAACTTCAGTTCATTTTCAGAGTTTTACAATAGAACACCACATAGTAATGTATGATGGTCATGTGGAAGGAAACTTTACATGGTTTGTAAAATGATTTTTCAATAAAACCTGAAAAGTGTGCCCTGCATTTGTATATAGTCCCTTTTATAAAATCAAGTACAACCACATTAGAAGTCAGATTAGAAACCTTTCAGCAGGACAACCATCACTAACTTCCAGGCAGAGATGCAGCAAAATTGTGTTAGAATGGCCTAGTCAAAGTCAAGAACTAATGCCTTTGGAAATATTCAGACACTCTTCTTGCAGCCTGAGTCTGAGCTTCTGAACTGATAAGGATTTCAGTCTCCAGATCCTCAAAACCGATAGTTTGGGTTTCAAAATGCTTGCAGCTAAAATTGCTGAAGTTTTTTGGGTTTTTTTTTTTTTGGAAGTGATTGACTGGGACAGAATACAAACACACCAAATAGTAAAACTTTTATATTGTTTTCCTTTCTTTTCACAATTATGATCAACATTTCATTAGGATTTTCTCTCACAGAAAATCCTAATAAAACACATTAAATTCTTGTTGCAGCATAACACACACATTAACCAGAACAAATACTTTTGCAATCAAAAAGAAGTCTCTTTTTTTTTTTCTTTCTTAAATGTCTTTGTTGTCTCGATTTGTCCTTTTTCTTCGATCTCAATCTCTTGACTTCCCATCCAACCCTCTGCTTTATCATAACATCCATCCCTCGGTCGGCTTATCTGCTCGTTTCTGCTTGTCTCCCTATGAGATCATTCGAAAGGTCGACAAGCAGACGGCCCTGCTGGACGCCGATGACCCAGTTTCCCAGTTGCACAAGTGTGCCTTCTACCTGAAGGACACGGAGCGCATGTACCTGTGCCTTTCCCAAGAAAGGATCATCCAGTTTCAAGTCTGTGCCACTGTTTCCTCTGCATACCAATATCAAAAATCTCTCCAAGTAGATCTCCAGAATTCCAATTTACCTTTCCCCACCCTCCATGCCAGGCCACTCCATGCCCAAAGGAACCAAACAAGGAGATGATCAACGACGGCGCCTCCTGGACAATCATCAGCACGGACAAGGCAGAGTACACTTTCTACGAGGGCATGGGCCCCGTCCACTCACCCGTCACCCCTGTGCCTGTGGTAGAGAGCTTACAGGTAGCCTGGGCGGGCGGGGTTTTCTCAGGACGAAGGTCTGCGGTTCACGTGTTTGAACTCGCCTGGTCTTGTCTGCAGCTCAACGGCGGTGGGGATGTTGCCATGCTGGAGCTGACGGGGCAGAACTTCACACCAAATCTGCGGGTTTGGTTCGGAGATGTCGAGGCTGAAACCATGTACAGGTCAGCTGTGGCTTTTCTGGATTGTAAAGAGAGAAAATTCCCCTTTTTGAAGAATACCTGCCTGCGGTTTAAGAAAAAAAGGGTTTATAACCCTTTAAAAATGGATAGATGTCAGCGACTCCATTTCTCATATTTTGCAACTGGCCATGAACAAGTATGAGTCATATATGTATTCCTGACATTTCCTTTTCACCAGTATCTTTTGGTGTGCATTGAGTGATGTGTTAGACATGTTAATGGGCCGTGTGTTTGCTTATTCCTGCTTTTCTCATGAGGCGAAACATTTCAATTGAACATTTAATATCGTTTTTTTTTGTGTGTGTGTTGTCTTATGGACTCTTTTTAAGTCTTATGGACTCTTTTTAAGTTAGTTTGCCAGATTTCTGTCCTGAGCGTGACAGTTAGACAAACCCCCTCCAAAAAAGAAGGTTCTAATCCTGGTTAATTTATGATTTAAAAAGGAAGAAATTATATTTTTACACAGAATCAGCGCGGTGTGGTTTGGATGGATTCCTCTGTAAATCAAATCATGATTTTGAAAACTTCTCTTGTACTTACTTGGGTTATCTTTGCCTGGTATTAAAATGCATTGAATGATCTGAAATATTAAAGTATAGCATAGAAGCAAAAACAGAAGGAATATGTAACTTGGGCAAAAGTTTTTCTTCGAGTCCTTTCATTGAAATATCAGCTTCAAACAGTGAGAATGTCACTGAGAAATGCCTCCATCAGGCAACGACGTAAGAAGATGAGCTCAGGATTTAGAAAAATAAATATATCCATAATGACGACTGGCCCTGAGTCACATGTCTGCTGCTCCATTCACTTGCAAAAACCTCAAAAATACCAGAATAATGACCTGATGTCGCTCTTCACCAGACTCTAATCTCCTTCGGGATTTTTAGCCTCTTATGTAAGTTCAGATTTACAGAGAAAGGACACGATGTGGCTCTTCAAACACCATTTGGGAGGCCAGTGATTTTCACTGAGAGTAAATCATTAATGTAGGGGAGTTACTTTGGAGATGCCTTTCTGTGAAAATCTAGGGGAAAAAAAGCAATCTGTTTTGCATATTAGTGTCAAATATTTCCCATTTTCTCCGTTTTCCATAACCAAGAAGCTAACATAGGGGAGACTGCCATGCCGCCTTCATTTTTGTTAGTGGTGGGAAAGTCTGAATGTGTCTGCATGAAAATGTGAAGGAACCCTGGATCGTTTGCTATCTTTGCATTCTATTCATTGAGTCACATATTTTAGTTTGGATTTGGCCTAAAAAGAAATTGATTAACTTTTAACTATAGGCCCAGGCCCAAAGTAAGCCCAGCATATTATTTCAGTTAAGATTTTACTGCTTTGGTATTTAGACCATAAATTGAGTTAACAGTGTAAATTCTCCCATTTTTAGCTTTTGCTTAACCTCTTCCATTTCCATTTTGTCGCTCGTTGCAACCGCAGGGCGAGTCTAGTGCAAATCGTCTGGGACGTGTGTGACTGATGAACCAGGTTTTGAAATAATCGTCAGCTAATTTAGTAATCAATTAATCATTAGCTGAAGCATACAGACTCAGGAAATGGGGTAGTTTGCTGAAAAAATAAATACCCGAGCCATTTGGAGCAGTGATCAACCCAAAACTGTACAAAATGTATACATTTTGCAGTATACGTGAGCCTTTAAACATGTTCTAGTCAAAATTCCTCAAGTTGTACTTTCAGCTTCTCCTGGTTCAAAATTCACCAAATGAATTCTGCTACTTCATTTTAGGCAATACGATGTTTGTTTTCTTGTTTTAAAAAGGAAGCTGAATTATTTGTTTATTTTAATGTCTTTCTAACATTGTGTAAGAAAGGGTTAAATGAAAAATCAGTAGAATGTTCCACTTACAATCAAGTAAACGTGAAACGCGGCGTAGAAGCCAGACCCGAGCATCAGGCGAAACAATCCGAATTCCAGGTCCCATTCGGGCCCCAACTGCTAACATGTTTCCTGTTGTGCGCCCTCTGCAGGTGTGCGGAGAGCATGCTGTGCGTGGTGCCCGACATCTCGGCCTTCCGCGAGGGCTGGCGCTGGGTGCGGCAGCCCGTCCAGGTCCCCGTCACCCTGGTGAGGAACGACGGCATCATCTACTCCACCACACTGACCTTCACCTACACGCCCGAGCCCGGCCCGAGGCCGCACTGCAGCGCCGCTGGCGCCATCCTGCGGGCCGGCAACGCCAGCCTGCACAGCAACAGCAGCCAGGAGGCCGCCGCCCCCGGCGTCTACGGCCCCAACAGCAACCCCGGCGCCGGGGTCACGTCCTCGTCCTCCGCCGCCGCCGTGGTGTCCTAACGCACACACACAGTATGCCTTGAGAGCAAAACACACCTTGGGGTATATACATGACAGACTATAGGAATTAAACCCAAACTTTGACTCATCGTAAAGTGCTGCGTGTTTAGCTGGGATACAAACGAAAAGGAGCAAAACTGAAGGAGTGACATCACCGAGGTGTCAGCCAATGGGAATAAGCAGAAGAGCTCCGTCGCCTGCAGATAACTGTAGGGACCTGCCTATTTAATCCTGGTGTTTGGAATGAGTGACGTTCCTGCAGGCTCAGAGCACCAGCACTTTCCTTCAGCTGTGAGAAACGACAACAATACATCCACCCTGAACGCAACGCCGACCACGACCTGAACGGATCGGTCCGTCGTCGGCCCGCCTGGATTCACACTGTTCAACTCCCACGAGCCTCGGCTGGGCGTATTGTTGTCGTCGCAGGATGCAGAGGGACACACAAAAACGTGACGATAACATAGTTTTTATGGACCAAGGATCTTGTATAAGCTTTAGTAAAGGTACATTTTTCTCCATACCTTTTTTTGTATTAAACATATAGTACACTTTTGTTACCAAATAGTTTCTATTCCTTCTCTGAGCTTTTGGGCTTTGTTTCCCTCCCCTTCCGCCCCTGTTTGAGGTCCAAACTCCCAAACCTTTTATGTTAATGTGACCTTACAACAAATGCCTGCTTCCCAGTCTTTGGATTGTTTTTTTCTTTTAATACTTCTTCTTTTGAGTTGGGGGAAAAAAAACTAAATCTGAAGTCTGGATTTGTTTATTCACATACGCGAAGGTTGCTTTTTATTATGTTTGTTTTTATTGGGGGGGGGTACGACCTCAGAGGGGCCTATATTTTTTATCCTCTTTGGTTTTTATGAAGTCTTTAAAAAGAAAAAGCTTTAAGCAACGCCTTTTGCCTTGCCTGCAATACTCTGCGTGCTCGCCGCGTCTCCTGGAACGCAAACGCTTCAGTACATCTCACATGGAGCCACAGCAACATCTGCAGAATATGTGGAGAGAAAAAAAAAAAAAGGAAGAAAAAAAAAGACATTCTTGGTTACAAAAACAAGTCAAACTCATGTAATAAGCGTTAGTAAGCCTTAGTACTGTATATTCTTACTGTGCACAGTCAGACCAGTCACATATCTAATATCTGTTGCTCACTGCACCCGGCGAGGCGTCTTCCAGCACGTGCTCTGCTTGCATCCGGTAGTTTTCCAAAAAAGAAGAAGGAAAAGAAAGAAAAAAAGAACACAAAACAATGGACACTTTTTCCAATTTGATGTGGCCTTACTGCAAAACGACGGGAAAAAAAGAAAAAAGAGTTCACCTTTTTCTTATATGCTGTTTACTCACCTTGGAAGAAGCTGTGCGTAGCACAAACTAATGCCTCGCTGCTTATCACAGGAGCTCTGCTGTCTCTGAGCTCATCGCTGCGGCTTCACCCTCCCTGCAGAAGCAGCCTTCTTCTTCTCCTGAAGCCTTCCTAATTCGTGTTTTTTTTTTCTTTGTTTTTTTTGTGGTGTACAAATACAAAGATCCCTACTCGCCTGTGTTTGTTTCGATATTGTTCTTCTGCTTCCACGGTTGAGACAATATCTCCCGGGTAGGCATGGACCGGTGTGATAACCTCAAGGGGGAAAAAAAAAAGTCAATATTTAAATCGGAAAGAACGCCAGCTGGAGTAATTCTCTTTATCTGCTTCTACGCCTGGACGAAAGCCTTTCTATTCAAGAATTCAAACATCACCACCTCTTGTTTTACTTAATGAGGTACTGATCAACAAGAGCAAATGCCAGATTTTCCCACCTGATATTGATTTCTAAACTCTTCTGACTTTACTGGTTAAAAGTGAACGTAAAGTTCTTCTTTGTGTGATTTCTCTAGTCTGAAAATGCAACTCCCCCCACTTATTTTCACCATTTGCTCTATATTAATGCTCAAAATAAGTTTTGAAATTTGACAGAGATGTGGCTAGTAGTTAATTTTGACAACAACCCAGCCCTTCTTATACTTGCTGGTTTCCATTAGTATTTTGATATTTCACTTTTGGTGACTAAAAGTTGAATTAGTGCCAGTCAGAAGAAGCATGTTGGCAGTATTATGAGATAACTCTGTAGCTCAACTTACAACGGATATGAAAAATTTTGTTTAATTGTAGATGGTGAAATCGTTGGGGAGGAAAAAAAGAAGTGCAGTAGTTTTTACTTGAGCGCTGTAGCATTTTTTTTTTTTTTTCAAATTTATTTTGAGCAAAAATAGAAAATAAAATAGAAATATATATGAAAGCAGTCAAGTCATTCCTTCTGGCATTTTTTTTAAACACAAAAAAACAGCTATTTAGCTTTGTAGTTGCAACTTCTACTACTTCAGTAGATGCACTTTCTTCCTAGCAATGGGCAATAAAATGGCCTATCAGTCAGCTGGCTGTCAGTGTGCAGCAGCAGGCGGGTCACTTCTTAACCTAAACACTTGTGCAGAAACTAAGGTGGGAAAATGTTGTGCTTTTGAACTCCTAACAGAGACTGATGCCTTTGTTTGCGCTCCATAGCTGTGTGTCCTTTCTGGAATAGAAAGGTTTTCAGCCAAATGTGTTGTTCTTTTTTGTTGTTGTTGTTTTTTATGTTTTTTAATAAGTGAAGGAAATTGCCTTCTTTTAACCAGCCTGACTTTCAGTGTGCAGCAACATCTGGGGGAGGATTTGTGTTTTTTGTTTTTTTTTTAAATCGGTCCATGCCTACATCCTGACTGCTGTAAACCCTCTCCGCCTTCTGTTCTGTCTAAATCACCCTGTGGTTCATTGCGCCGGCGGTGACGTCACCTCCTTAGGGAGCAAAGAAAAAAAAAAAAAGAAAAAAGAAGGCCTTTTTAAATGTGTATTTAAAACGTGCATTTCCGAACATAACAGCAATATTGTACAGGCCATCTTATTGTCGTGGTTTTCTGTTCTCATTCGCCTGAGCACTAGTTCACCAGCTAAGCAAGTTCCTTAAAGCGTGCTAGTGCCGTAATGACGTCACTGTGACCGAATACTGATTTGGTCCATTTAAAGGGAAAAAAAGGAGCTTCCGGTCTTCCACCAAATCGAAAAAAAAAAACGTCTAACTTGTGGGGGAGACATTCAAAGGCAATACAAAACAAAACAATACAACTGAATGTCTGCTCGATGAAGTGTTTCATAATTTTGTTACACCTTGAAACAGGAACAGAAAAGGATTGGTTCCGCCCCCCTTTAATGTATGAAAAAAAGCGCAGAAAAAAACGATGAGTTAAGTTATGCCCTGTTCTTATCTGTCACGTTTGTTATTAATGTAAAATGTTTTATATTGTAATATTGAGATTTTTTTAAATTATTGGTACAAAGTCTCCCGTTGTCTTACGTCAAATTTTCAACGAAAAACAAAAAGTGCATTATTGCCCGTGCTGCCTCTAAAGTTTCCCTTAAAGTACGCCACTTCCTGGAATGACTTTAAACTAAAAGTGAATAAATAAAAACAAGCGCTGCAGCAGCGGAGTAGCATCAAACAGAGCAGCGGCGGCGCTTCCCTTTGCTCTGCGGGATGGAGGTCACCAAATCATAACCGTACGTTTTTATTTTATAATTATTATCTTTACACCCTCCTTCGTACACTGAGGTTAAATACTTTTTTACGTGTTGCCTCCTCGGAGCAAACCGCGCCGCCGCGAGCAGCTTTCAGATTCATCGAGAAAACAAAAAATGGCGGCTCGGCGGATCCGCCGCCTTCGACAATCCGAGTTCATTTTACTGGGTTTTCTGTTTTCAGAATTGTGCTAATTTAAATAAATAAATAAATAATAAAAGTAAATAAAAACAAAGAAGGGAGAACACACCGTCAAAAACTTAAAAGATTAAGATGTTACATGCCTTCTCAATGCGCGCGCTGTGAACCTTCACGAGAGGGAAAACGACGTCTATCTGTCCCTCCCTGTTTTGCTTCCGTGTCTTTTCGTTCCTCTTCGTGTTTTTTTAATTGTTTATTTTAATTTTTTTTTTATTATTTTACACTACCAAAAAAAAAAAACACACAAAAAAGAAAAAAAAGCAGCTGTTCTGTGTGGATGTGTTTTTACGAGCTCTGAACAATGTATGTATCTTAATATGCCAAATGTCTTTTTTTATAATGTAGTTTTCATGCACTGCTAAACAACAAAACAACAACAAAAAAAGAAAACAAAAACAACAGGGCAGAGTGAGAGGCAGCTTTAAACAAATAAATCGGAGTGTGGGGCCCTTCCTCTGTCGCACTCAGCCTTACTTCTCCTTTTAGACTCTTTGGCTGTTTGCACTACAGAGCGCTAAACTTTCTACTTCTCACACATTTCATCCTCCATTGTTTCAATGTTTTTAATGTTTTTGTTTTTTTACATTGTGCATTTGAGAATTTTCTCTCTTTTTTTTTGTTGTTGTCGATGCTTGGCCTCGCCGCACCTGGATCTCCCTTTCTTTGTCTTCATCTCGCTTCTACTCTCACTGTTATCTGTGTATTATTCTAGTAAAATGGTAAGCAGAGGTGTCATGTGGTAGTATATACTCAGTGCTCAAAGGGTTGCTGATGGTAGAAACTTGTGCCGTTTGTAACATTTTAGCAATAACGTCAAAAACAAAAGGGGACGTGTTTTTTTTTTTTTGTTTTTTTTTGTTTTTTTTTTTTTTTTCTTTTCTAATAACATATGTTAGTTTGTTTTTTGTACATATTGCCGCTCCAGATCATGCTCAAAACTGTATGTCATTAAAAGAAGAAAGAAAAAAAAAAAAACAATAAAAAAAAACCCCAAACAAAATGAGGAAAAAAAAAACTTGCAATATTGGAATAAAATGAGAATTTAAAAAGTGATGAAATGTGAAGTATATTTTTTGAAATCATTTTATTGATTGCTTTTCACTCTGAATGGATGCTAAGAGAAAAGAAAAAAAAAAAGGGTACGGAGAACTGACCTGGATTTGTCCTGCTCTTACATAAAGCTTTTGCTCGTCCCCTTCGAGGTCCACTTTGTGAAACCCACTAAAAGCACCGGCTTGTTTTTGCCCTGGATCTGTGTGCACTCCAGGTTTTCATGCACAGCACTTTGCACACAAACTTCACAGTTTAAAACCGTAAAAAAAAAGAATGTTTCTTCTTAGATGTACAATTCCATGCACATCCAGTTGGCGCCAAACGTTTATCACAAAATACCAGTTATGATGGTCCATGCACCAGTGAAATGAATTATATTAATAATAATAGGAGTTACATTGCCATAAAAAAAAATTTCACCCCCTTTTGACGTTTTGTTGCCTTTGAAAGGGGGCATTCATGCATTCAATTATTCTATTTTAAATAGGTGTATATAATTATGTTTTTATAGAAATCAGTTTCACTTTGATGTCAAAGGTGGGTTTTTGTAAAAAAGGCAAATATTGTTGACTATGAATTGTAAAAGCAATAAAAAAGAGAAAGCATTCAAGGGGGTGAATAGTTTTTATAGGCACAGTGTGTAGAGCCACAACCCCAAAAACACGGCTCCACAAGGTGTTCGCTCAGAGGAACTGAATACAAATGCACTCCACACTTTTTAGATTTTTGTTTTTTATTATTTGTAAACATTTTTTTTATAAATGACATCTCATTTTTAAAGTTGTGCACATTTTACCACCTGTATGTGTTACACAAATTTCCGCAAGATACATTGAGGTCCGTAGTTTTGACCGCGACGCTCGGAAAACGTCGAAACGTTTTCCGACGGCCACGTTCGCAACAAGCCGATCGATATCCCACGGTCGTATTTTTCTAGTCAGTCGTTTGCCTGAAACGAGCCTGAGCACACAAAAAGACGGCGAAGTGCATTTTGAGAGCCGACATTTCACATCACAAACTGGCAGAAATGACAAGAGAAATATTGGATTCTTCACATATGAACTCAAAAAAACCACGCACAAGTTGCTACATCGACGCTGCTACGTTCAGCGGTAAGAATGTGTGGAAATCATGAGGGGAGAGACTGACTCTTTAAAGACGAGCTGCAGGTGTTACAAATCCCACAATAAGATAAGGCCTCTCCAGTTGCCCAGTCCTTTAGGTACACATACATACAGAGGGTCAAGGGCAGCAGCTGTTTGTGTAGCAGGCTGGGGGGTTCGAGTTCGAAGCTGCTGGTTGTGATCAATGTATCGGTGAGGCCTGTGATTGCTAGACGTTGGGAAGTGGAAAGGCAGTGTGTAAAGATTCAGATCAAAGAGACGGCCTATTCAAAACCTAGAAATGGTTCAGTGTCTTGGCATTTAGTTTTTCAGAACTATATAAAAATGTCTCAGTATGTAAATTCAATGCTGAAAACGACCGATAAATTGTGGTGAGAAAAAACAAAACAAAATAAAAAAAAAATGTATTGATTTATAAGTTCAGCTCAGTTCAGTTTCTCTCACTAGAGGGATTAGAAATACCACTAACCATGTACAGTTACACAATTTCTTAAACTAACATTTAATTTAGTTTAATTTAAATTCAAACTTGAATTATTTAAATTTTTACACCTGTTACAATAATTTTGACTTGTGTTTTTCGGCCTTGGGACTTTCTTTTTACTCCTGCTAGTTGCCAAGCAAATCACAAACTACCAACTTTTCTTTCCTTATAGTTCTGTTGAGATTAAATGTGCACAAAATATATTGTACTAAAATTGAAAAAATAGGTTCCCTATGCCAGCCTATACTGTCTATACTAGCTAGATGTACTTTAAAAGTGCTATTTTAAACATTTAGCAGTGACCAAGCTTCAAAACCTGTAAAGGTCAAACACTCCAAAATGTCTGGGGTTGAACCTTTTGTCGTTTGAAAGTTTAGGTTTAAAATTTAATGTTGACTCTTGAAAATTAGATGTATCTGTTTTAAGAAAGGGAAAATAAAAAACAACAAAACTTGTGCTCTTGCACACTGTGCAAACTCTCCATATCCACCACAACTTCTCACAACAACTTTTGACCTCAAACTAAGGTGCACAGACTATTTACTCACCCGTATCATTAAAACTGAAAGCAATACTTAAGATATCCCTTATTTATTAAGTCACCAATGAAATATTTGGCAACTCTCTCACAGCACTGAAAGTTCATTTCCATGTAGTGAGTTGGTCCTTTCGTATGAAAAATAAATAAAATGAGGCAGCGTGCCTAAAGAAAGGTAACACAACCTGTTGTGATGCAGCAGGACACTGTGAACGACGCCCCATCCAACAACAGGAGCAAATGAAAGGCACATCACTTCAAAGAAATGAAAATTTACACACAAAAAAAATATCCTTCATTTATTTTCATGTGCAGGCCTGCGCAACAAGCGTTTTTAAAAATGCCATCACAATACGTCGCGGTGTGGAAACCAATGAAAGCTAAGCGGGTTTGAATCGAGGACATTGATCTGGCATCGAGAAAGATATTAACATGCAAATATTTATGATTTATTGTCTTTGATTTGGCCTTTAAAAAAAAAGCAGTCTGTTATTTCACCACACACTACTGGACTTTTCTTCCAACTTGTTATTCTTTTCAGCACAAAGGCGAATTTAAGCATTAATTGGAAACGGGATCGGGACAAATCTAGCTACGAGCTGCATTTGATTTGTCTCAGAGGCTGAGACTCAGAGGTGGGGACGGCGTCACGCCAGGACTGATGGCTTCCCAGGCTCAAGTAGTCGGAATATTTGAATATGGCTCTAACTCTGCATAGGACATTGTTGTTGTTTTTTCCTGACTAAAATGATTTAAAAACTGAAAAGTCCCACTTATTTTTGCTTGTGCACTGGTCCTTAAAGATTAGATATTGTTTCAACATTTTCAAAGAAAAGCTATTATTTAAGAAAAATGTTTATTTCTTTATTTGTGTAATTTCGGAGCTTATGACGGTTCTAAAGCATCTGGCGGTATTTATGTGCAGAACCGGGATGTTGACTTATTCGCTGCTGCGTCAGAGCACTTCATGTTCACGCCCGCGGTCCCCGAAGCTGAATGAGCGTCGTCGGTACTCTGGACTCTGCAGGTCTCCGGGAAACATCTGGCTGTGATCGTTCCGCTGTGAGGCGTCAGCCTGCCGACTCGTGTCGTTTCACACCAAGCTAAAATGAAAGAAATACCCACAAAGCACTGCGAGGGCTCAGCAACACACAACGCGCCGTCTTCACCCCCGCGTGGCACTTCTACATAGAGCATGCACAGAGCGGTCCAGATCACGGGCCCTCGCTGCACTGTGTCATGGGGATGTTCGTGTTGACGCCGGGAGTGCTCTCCCTCATGCTTTGGGTACTGGAGGGCGCGTATCCTCTTCCCACGTCTCTGTGCCATTCAGATGGGCTTTTTTTCTTCCCCCAGTAGAACCACTTCCTGATCCCCCCCGTGATTTTGACGCTACAAAAGGTAGCCAGTATGCTCTGCCGGAAGCGTTTGTTCATGAAGCAGTACACGATGGGGTTGACGCAGGACGAGGTGTAGGACAGCAGGTGGATGAACGAGATGGGCGCTCCCGTCAGACGGTTCGCCGAGCGCTGGTCGAACGCCTTCCACGCGTTGACGACGAAGACGGGGGTCCAGCAGAGGAAGAAGAGGAAAACGATGACGATGAGCATGTGGATGACGCGTTTGTTGGCCATCAGCTCCTTTCTGCTGGAGTTTCGGGACGTCTCCGGCAGCTCGCCGCCTCTGCTCTTCCTCGATCTCTTGCTCTCGGATGAGTTGTAGCCGTCGCCGTTTCCTGGTTTGATGCTGCCGGTGCTGGCGTGGCGTTCTGGTGCGGACGAGAAAGTGGAAAAACAAAATAGCGGCATGAGAGGGCTACATTAGCCAGGGACGTCTGGCTTTAGCTTTCCTATGGAATTGGTTTGGTTTAGCAAAAAATAAAATTGGTTGAGCTTCTTAGAATCAACTTAAATTTACTTTGATTTGCAGATATTGTTTGTTTTTTCTCTCTGTGATCCACATTATTAGCATTGAGTGACAAATGACATAAAAATCTAGTTTGCAAGAACATTTCTGTTGTTCTTAAAGGAAACTTGTCATGCACTTCCACTGCGCAACGATGCTAAAGCAGCATCTTCTCATACGTCCATGGCCCCAACCCTATTTAATTAATTCAGTCATCCACACTGCAACATTTTTCAATGTTACTCAACGTACTGTAAAGCTCTCAAAACACATTGTTGCGTGCTGAGGGGTAAACTAGAACAATAACATACAATAAAACATTACAAACACGTATATAATGGTTGCAGCCATGCTTTGTTGTCATACCTCGGCTGGACTGCTTCAGGGACTGCGCTCGCTTGATTCCCTTGTACAGCTTCAAGGAGATGAGTCCGTAAGCCGTCGCCATCATGATACCAGGAATCAGGAAAAGCACCAGCAGCAGAGCGATGTACCTACGACGACCAAATTTAATCAGAATTAAATAACTTTACAGTGAATTAAAGGTGGGCTGAATGAATGGCTCCCTGGGTGAGGGTCCCTCAGCTTGTTTTAAAGAACATTGTTTCTTCAGATTTAATGGTGTCATGTGGCTAAAGGTACACATAAAGGTTCTGGTTCTCACTCCACATGAGCTCAGTGTGATTGACAGCCGACAGAGTCTGGTCTCTGTTCTGACTACCAAGCTGGAGGGCCTAATTAGGGGTTCCAGCACACATATAAAAGTGACATAAAATTTGTTGAAGCCAGGATTGTACTGGCGGATCCCCCTACTATTTAACTGCCCATATGACTTGTAATAAAATACAACTTCCTGGACAAACCAATCAGACATGGAGTCAATTCAATCATGTTTTCTATTGGAAGGGTTTTTGCAGCTGGATTTCCTCCGGTGGCTGCCTCGCTCTCTCTTCACCAAGACGAGAAAACCTCTCAGCAAAACAGCCGTCTTAAGCCAACCGTTTTGCGGTCACCGTGTAGTACAAACCTCCCCAATGAGCAGATTTGTATCTCACCAGGACTGCTGGAACACCGCGTTGGGCCACATCAGGCGACACATGTGTCCCGTGCTGTTGTCGAGGCGAGTGAAGGGCCTCAGGGTGCTGGAGATCGGGTAGGGCAGCATCATGATGGAGGACACCACCCAGGTGGCGGTGATGACCTTTTTGGCGTGGCTCCTCGTCTGCCACACCATGGAAGCGAGGGGGCTGCAAATGGCATAGTAGCGCTCGATGGAAATGGCCACCAGGTTGAAGGTGGAAACACTGACCGAGACGCCTGCACAGAGAGGAGAACACACCCACAGCTCTGTTTGACCATGAAGCAATGTCCACTGTCAAAACAATGCTGGACTCCATGCTCAGTTTCCTTAGACATAGACTTTTTAAAACTACTTTCAGCAACTAACTGAGTTTACTGTCCTGTTTGATAACTAGGGTCAATTAAAAATGTATGTGCGACCGAATTGAAACAATCTTTTTGCAAAGTGTCTTGAGACGGTATTTGTTATGAATTGCCGCTATGTCGATAAACTGAATTGAATATTGTGTTGTACTGCTTAATCCTGAAGATGATAAAATACATGAATATCAAGGAGGTTCAGGCAAAAAATATGAATTAAACCCCGGGTTTGTCCTGTGTTCAATAATTTTTAAAAATGGATTCTGCAGAATATTTGGAAAGCTGCTGCTTGTGATATTCAAGAAAGGATGCTAAGAAAAGTAAAATGTTTTAAATGTTAAATGAACAAATGGCAACAACGCACCTTAATAAGTCAGCGCGTAAAAAAAGCAAAACTAAAAAGACACATTTTGACACAGACAAACTCACATTTATGTGTTCTGTACCACTACAGTTCATGCAAAGACAAAGTAGTGCCATTAATTTTATCCCTTGTAACTGCCAGACATTCTCCCCACATTTTACAGTGTAAAGTGTGGATGGACAAACTCAGTCATATTTAACACACCGTTGCTGCATCTGATCAGTGTGAACACAGTCCTTAGCAATAACCACTCGATCTATAAATACATTTCAAATTACGGCTGGGCACAACCTGCAAGAGTGACACATCAGCAGATAAAAACATGGACGAATGACAGAGCAATCCCCGAGGACGGCCCTTTAATCTCCATGTACGGCTAAATGGAGCAACAGGAAGTGAGGAGAGGAATTAAAATCACATTTCCTCGTGTTTCCGTAATTGGATGAAAATGAAATATCTGCATTCAATGCATCATCTGTAATGACTCCACCTTGTTAGAAAGATCCCCACAGAGGTTTTCTGGAAGGCGCATGAAGACGTAATCCAGGTCATTTATCAGAATCACGGGCAAATTAAAGTCAAGGAAGAGGTTCGCGTCCCTGAATGCACTAAATCATCTCCGTTTAGTCCGTCTCTGTAGGAAACGTCAAATCCCTGAATCAAAATAAATGGGAACTGTCTTGCAGTTCCCTCTGATTGTATCCATGCTCTCTTGACAGTTCCCACGTTGTGTCACACACCCAAACTTTAAAGTACCTCAGTTGGATTTTAGTTTTGTGTTCTTTCAAATGTAAATATATAAATATAGTTTTGCCTAATTGTGAAATGAAAGGAATATGATAAATGTTTTCTTTTTTTTTTTTTTTTTTTTACAAATAAGAATTTGTATGCATTTAACTCAACCACCATTTAGTAAAATCCAATGCTACCTATTATCTATGAGATAACAGAAATTAGTTAATTAGTAAACATAAAAAAATATGCATTTGCAACAAACAAACTGACAAAAACTTAAAAAACTGCAATGACGCTTGCCATGGCATGTCACTAAATAGACAGCTAACTCTTAAACTTAACATCTGACTCCGTAACAATACAGTGACACACACCTATTAATCTGAACCTTTAACTAATAAAGACTTTTCCCCTTCAAACTTCAGCTGGATTCAGATGCAAGAGGAGCAGTTTTTTTTTTTTTTTTCATTAGCAGCACGCTAATGGAGTGCAGTCTGTACGGTCTGTTAATCTTTTTACTTGGTCATGTAAGTTACTTTAGTAAAAAAAAAAAAAGAAAGCAAATAGAAGGCAGATATTTTCTTTTTAGATATTGTGGAGTCGTCAAGACAAATGTATGCAGTCGATTTAGTACAGATACGCTGCTGGCACTGTCCAAGCAGACACACATATCTTATAATAAGAGCAACTGTGCCTCTGTAGTGTCTGCAGCTGTCAGACAATTGGGGGAGGAGAGAGAACTGATTGGGAAATCACATATCTTTCCTGCTAATGGAGTCAAGTGGACCTCATGCGGAAAAAAAAAAAAGGGGAAAGGTCCAATAAACACAACCTGCATTTCTCAATGAATGAGTTCCTGCGTTGCATACAACCCCGAAGGCTTATCTATCAGGACTTGACCTAAGAGCTAAGAGCATGAGCCACAGAAAGCAATCCGAGAGATTTAAGCCGGAGCAGACAAAATCAGAGCCAGCGGATGAATTTCACCCACAGTCTGGCCGCGGTATTAAAAGCCATCAGGAAAAACTATCTCTTGATTGCATTGCGAGATCCAACTAAATCGCTGAAGCAAATTCGGACTCAGAGGCAGAGTCGGAGATGTGGAGCAATTTCCATATTGAAAGTCGTACTCTAGATCAAGACAGTTACAAACAAGCTTCAGGGCTGTGAGGAAGTCCTTGCAGATTTCATCTAATTTTTTTTTTTTTTTTTTGTCAGACTGAAATATTTTAGATCATCAAACTAGATTCCACACAAGATAACCTGAATGATTACAAAACTCAGGAGGATAAATGGGCTACATGATATCAGAAAAACAAAAAGAGCACGCCCTGTTTTAAGGAGGAATAGAAGGCGATATGGGAAGCAATTTGAAGATGTCTGTGACGTGTTGTCCTGCAACAAGTCACAGGGCAAAGCTTCACTTTTATACAACACGCATTATCTCCTGTCCAACTCTGAGGCTATATGTCTCAACTTAGCCTCAGTATGGTTGGAGAGTTTTCATTTATGTCGTCCCGAAAGGCTGAAATGTAGGACAGCTAACGATGGCGAACGTTACGTCTGCGGTGTTTGTCTTTCTTTCTCAGCCGACAAACTGATGATATTTGACGTGTCCCTGTTGACTCACAGAGGCCGCTCGGATTGTCTTCTTTACTCCGCGCCAAGTTATTTTCAGACGCAGTGTTTTGACGACCTCCTCAGAATGCAGGGAAGACGGAGAAAATGTCCAGTGAGGGCTGGCGTGTGGTGTGATCGCTGCTTCAGAGCCCTGAGTCACATCAGAAATAGATTAGCGTTGTTGCTCTCACTTGCTCTTGACCGGAAAGGTAATTTATGTGTGTTTCATACACAAAGAATGAACTGGTGAGGATAATTTTGGCAGAGGGAACAGGTCACCTTTTTCAACCTAAGCTGATAGGAATCGTCTTCCTGCTGGTTTTCGAGGCAGTCAGTTTCCAGATCGTAAGGCGAGACCTAAATCGAAACTCAAAAGGTTTGTCTCTGTAAAAATATAAACTTATACTCTCTGGACAAAAAAAAGGCCTGAACTGTTTTTAGCTCAAGCTCATTAAATCTCCAGGAGCGTTTGAACATACAGGGGAAATGAACCTTGCAAACAGCCTCAGATGACTTCAATTATCTAATAAGCAATTACCAACACAACAAAAAGTACAGTGACTCACCACGGAGACAGAGTTAGATTATGTTGCTTCCGGCTTTAGGGTTATCAATTGCAATTAAAATCTTTCACACATTATATGACTAAAAAAGTATAAAAGTACTAACGCCTCATTGGATTTAGATGTTCCAACGTTTTTGTCATTTGATTATTTACTTGCTAAGTTCTCGTTAACATTAGTTATGTTTGTTATTTTCGTCTCTATTCATCCACCACACGACCGATCACTAAAAGGTATCCAGTCATGCAGACTGCTGCTCAAAACGTCTGCAAAAAAATATGGGTTGCTATTAAGGGCTTGGTGAATGAAGCTGCGGCACCAGGATGCTGCGAGTAGAATGAGTCAATTTGTTGAAATTTCCTTGATGCTAAAGTGTAAGCAACCCAATCAAAGAATGGCAGACCACTTTCAACCACTGAACGTGGCCAGTTTATTGAGTGCAGTCGTCGCCAACTGGCTTCTGAGTAAACAGATACCGTCCTCCAAACTTTGTGAAAACCAGAATAATTCACAGAGCTCATAGAGAACTTCTTGGAACGGATTTCCAAGGCACCAAGTTCAATGCAAAGCACAGGATGCAGAAGAGTAAAGCACCCCTCCACTGGACTCTGGTATCCCAATGGACGAGTAAGGACCAATGGACCAATGGATTTTTATGGACACTGCCTTAGTGCCTTGTGTCAAATTATGACGATGGCATTTTGTCAATGTGCACAGCAGGGCTCAAAGCAAGTTCCATTTTGACTGGAATTAATAGAGCCCTGAGATCAACACCATAGAGTGTGTAGAACTTCCCAAAGAGAATATTAAGGAAAACCTGGACTTTTGGAAAGATTTGTCTAAAGCACAATTATTTAGTTGTAAGCACAACAGATACATTTTGTATAAACCAAACATTCCAGGGGAGAAAAAAAACCTTATATCACCTGTGAAATATGGAGGCGGAAATGTTATGATGTGAGAATGATTAGACATAGATATGTGAACATGTCTTCTAAGGATAATAGACTTCTAACTAAATAATTGATGGGGTGTCCACATTTATTTCCATGTCTGGAGGGGAGAATTTGAGAAACTTGATCAAACGGTTTCATTGATCAAACTCCAGTCCACCTTCTGACATCTCTACATACCCATGAAGTACATGACCAGCTTGCACATGCCGAGGCCAAAGATGAAATCCTTCATGACGTTGGGGATCAAGGTGAAGGGGATGCACACCAGGGAGATCATGAGGTCGCTCACTGCCAGGGACAGCAGGAACAGATTGGTGATGGTCCTCAGCCGCGGTCTTCGTCCTACCGGCAGCAGGACGATGATGATGATGCTGTTGCCGATGAGGCTGAGGAGGAAGATGATGCTGTACAGGACGATCCGGACAGGCTGGGAGATGTCTGAGAAGGAAAGGCGTGTCAGTGTCTTTATTTTTCAGGAAAGAAGGTCTCCGGCTGGAGGATTACTAACTTCTGATCATGACAAGTCAGTCTACTTTTCCATCGGTCGATATTTCTGCATTAAAAATCCCTTTTATAATTTTTTTTGAAGACCTCCTGTCCAGCAGTGTGGCACTCTGAGTTATAGTCAACAAAGCTACTTTTGCATGCGTATCGTGCCACGATGCCCCACTTGGGAAACATATGAAACTTTATTAGAAACTGCTTTGTCGTTTACTTCAAATGTAATCGACACAGAAACAAAACAGAAAAGAAATGAGTAAGGAAAGAAGGGAAAGACGGCGATAGGAGTGTGAGGAGAGAAGGAAGTCTCCACCTGCCTCCAAACCCGCGGAAAGAGAAAACACAAAAACCAACAAACCATAACGACAAACAACATGCACATGACAACGGTTGCAACAACGGTTGGGAAAGCACACAGTACATCATCATGCAAGGTGTATTCAGTGGCCACTGAGAGTGCGTCTGACAAAAACCTGAATCTAAACACCCGGAAGAGTGGTCCCTTCATTAAAATGCATCCCTCCTCATTAATAAACTGTTCATCAGTACAAAGAGTGTAGAATCAGGCAATCACTTGAATAGAACACGAAGTCAGCTAAAAGTTGGGCTGTGCAGAACGACAATGACCTGGACAGAAAGTCCATGTCTGGATGGATTACATGAAAGAATATTCTGGATACAGAATATTCTGTATTCTGTATGGATACATAAATACAACAGAGAAACAGTTTTTTTTATTGCCCTCAACAGGTCATTCATCCCCTGAAACCCTTTTGTGTGGCTGATATGAACACATTTCTAAAAAAAATCTACAAATAGAGTGCCGAACAGCTGCAACCATGTAAAAGCTCACTACCAGTTGTCTGAAGTGTTTTTAATCACTTCTTCAAGAGGCTTCCCCCCCCCTCATAATAAATAAAACCATCATCCGAAACCTGCTTTTAAACATTTACATTGTGACTTTCACTTCTAGAAAATAATTACTAAAAAGAAATTACTTTTTCAGTGGCATTCTGAGAGGCACCTGCATGTGGTGGGGCTTCTATCCCGCCTGTCGCTTTCTGCCCATATGGGCCACATCTAAGCTCTGGGTCTCCTGTCCTCTTACACTCTGTGTATATTTTATTTTCAAAGTCATCTGCCTCCCTTCAGGAAACATCACTCTGATATTTATTCAGAAATGTGACTCGTGCAGCCCCGCTGATGCTCAGCGTGCGCATTTTTATGCTGCCACTTCGGGCTGTGGTCGCCTTCCAGGGTTTTATCTGCAAAAATGTTCCAAACTGGCGCTTTTTACGTCCCAGTTTTTTTGTGCCCCCCCTCAAACCACCTCCAGAAAAGTACACAAATGCAGTTTGTGCTCACTTGACCGCGCAGAACCAGCGAGCGCCGACTGCATTAGCTTTTGTGGAGGACCTGAGCCGTGCGCGTAATGCGCAATGACGCAAGAAAAAAAAAATGCCCAAAGCGCTCGCCTCCCCCCTCCCCTCAACCAGCTCGTTTCTTTTTGCCACAATCTGGAGTTCAAAAGACTATTTTAGGTAAACTGAGAAATCTTCACAGCCACGTTATATCGACACGCTGGTTTAATTTACCGTTGGGCTCTGGAGAGGGGCCCCGTCCTGGCTCGCATTCCGAAATGTTGATCCCGAAGCGGCACAAGACACTGTTCAGATCTGTTGAGTTAATCAGGAACTCATGGGTCGTGATAGCCTCCATGTCGCCTTCTCTTCTTGTGTGTGAGCTCAGGTCCAATCTGTCTGAAGCTCAGCAGTGGTCATGCTCTTTCATAAGACAGAGAGAGAGACAGAGAGAGAGAGAGAGAGACAGAGAGAGAGAGAGAGAGAGAGAGAGAGAGAGAGAGAGACTGCGCGCATGGATCTCGAACTTTAACTATCCATTCACAAAACAAAAGCAACGAGGTGAGAAAAAAACACAGCTCCCACTGCTGCGCTCCTCTGTTGCAAACAGCGTGTGGAGAGGGATCGTCAGCCCGCCTATATGACCACCAACCCTCCTCCCTTCAAAAAAAAAAAAAAAAAAAAAAAAGGCAAACAAATCTCAATCTGAGCTGAAGAATTTGATCACAAACATCGTTTGTGTCCGTGGCAATATTGAAAGGGCTTCTCACCCTCTGCGCGGGCATGCTGCTGCAGGCTGAGGCATTTTCCTGAGAACGGGCGTGAAGTTGGAGCTGTTCTGACGCGTGGAGAGACTGGCTGCCAAAAGGCGCAGATCATTGTTGTACTAAAAGGAGACAGACAAAATGCATTAGAGAAGAAGAAGAAATATTCACACGCCCTTCGTTGCTGTTGTGTCAAACAGAATCAATGTGTGGCTTTTTATAACTCAGTTCCAAGGAGGTGATAATAGCTGGTTAGGATCCATGAAATGATGAGGGAGCAGGTAAAACAGGCTGATCCAAGCTTAGTTTCACTCCTCAGTTTCTAAGAATCAGAGTGCTTGATAGGCAGATTCTTTTCTGATGTCATAAACTGATGTCCTCAGTTTACAATCTCTTCTTGTTTTTGTTATGTTATCACTTTGCATGCTTCCATTTTTACCTTCCCCTTGACTGTACTGCTGGTGCACTGAACTTTCCTCCACAGGGGGACAATAATAAAAGTTAGATGCTATTCTATTTGAATCAAGTCCAGCCAAAATCTGTTCCATTCGACTCGCAGATGTGTGTCCTGCTGCATCTCGTTGTTGACCCTGATTTGCTGGATCAGAGTGATCCGCAAGGTGTCGATTTGGCAGCCAAAACTCGATCAAGTCGCTGCATGTTGACCCAGAGGTCACGGCGAGAATTTCCCAAAGCTTTATTCATGCCTTTCCAGAGCCAAGGTATTTGGAGGAGGCGTCTAAAAGACATGCAACTTGGCCGAAGTGATCATGTGTTTGACCTGACTCGCTGTCTGCGTTTCCTCTCACCTTTCCCATCACAGAGGATAGGCCCTAAGAAAAGACTTGCAGCTTTCACAATATGCCCGTCAAGAACAGCTTCCTGAGATGCAAACTTCACAAACCTTTCAAACCTTTAGGGAACGCTCACTGAAGGTTTCCTACAAGGTTTCTTAAAGATTACATTACACTGAGAATTCTCTAAAGGTATTTGACATTGCCTAAATATTTGATGAAAGTCAGCTCGAACTGTTATCGTCTTCCCAGACAACCCCTGAACGTTACATTCGACACAGGGGGGGGGGGGGGGGGAGTTTTTTTATTCAGTCGGAACCAAAGTGTCGGGTGTTTGTTTCTCGCGCACCGACCTTGGTTGCTGAGGAACGGCCTGGCGCTGCCGCGGCTGCCGTTTGAGGGATGCTGAGAGCTCAGCCGCGGCGTCTCCTGACAGCGGGCCGTGCGAGGTGTCCAGGTGAACCCGGAGGATGGACGAAGGCACCGCGGTGTCCCTGAGCATCGCCCAGGTCGTCCAGCGTCTCAAAGGGAGCCATTTACACTCTCAGATAGAGAGGCAAGCTAAAGTGAGTCAGTTAGCAGGCGGCTAAAGATGCGGAGCTAGCTGCCGCTGTGTGGTGCAGTTTTTGAGTGATAAGCAGTTTTATTGCCTTTCTTTCTTGTTCAGCTTCATTGTAAACCGTGAAACTCCTTTTTAGGACTGTTTACACCGGCCTGAGATAAGATTGGAGTCGCTAAAGGAAGACGTGCGCAGTTTTCTGAAAACATCAGGTGGGTTAAGGCTTATTTTCTTGCTACCTGCTGCCACGCCACAGCACGCCTTTAATACAAGAGCGACAGAATGACGAATGTCCGGACACGCGTCTCTGTTTAGGCTGGGAGAGAAAGCTGCAGAATGCCATCTACAGAGAACTTCACATGTAAGTCAAATGCATATACACACGAAACACTTTTCCCAAACAAGCTGCCAGGATCCAGCTGGGACTGAGGTTGCATCCAGGCTCTTGGATGCTCTTTTTCTCCGTCATCCGCGATATTTTCAACTTCTTTAAAAACAAACACATGTTGTTGAGAATGTCTTTGGCTCATTCTCCATCAATATATCTGACTCTCAGTTTGGGTCATTCCCATCTTCTAATACTGGTCCCCTATTCTGCTGCATACCTCTTTTATTGCTCAGAGAAGGTTCTGATGTAGTCAGATCTGAATGAAATGTCTTTCAGATGTGAATAGTTGGGGGGTGGGGGAGAAAGAAAAATAGGATGTGTACATCTTTATTTGCAGACTTTAATCTCTGTTGCCTGTAAGATCCATCCATCCTGTTGTTTTTTCATATTTGAGTAAATATGTAGAACATCTCCAGTGATTTGTGTCTGGGGAGAAAATACCCAAAAAACAAACAAACAACAAAAAAAATAGCCCTGATCCACAAGTGAGATATATAGAGTTAAAATCCATTGTTACAAACGCAGCCATTGTTGCTCCCCACAAAACTCTTTCACAACACTAAAAAGATATTTTTCTTATATTTCTGACTCGCAGCTGGTTTGGTATACTTGAGGCTGTAGGTTCGATTCCAGCTTCTTTGTGTCACATGTCGATGAGCCCCTGGGCCACAGACTTCACCCTGATCGTACTGCATGTTTGTGAGTGTCGGTAGGTAAAAGTAGCTGAAGTGCAAAGTGATTTGAGTGGTCAGTATTACTAGAAATGTGCATTTCCTACGTCCTGTAATCAATCGACACATAACTGGACATTTACACGTAGAAGCTTCAGTAAAAAGAGGCTGCAGCCACAAGCAGAAAGTGCTTCTGATTTTCAGCTTCTAGATATACTAAGAATTTAAATTTTCCAAGAAATCATCTGTGATAACATAAATCTAACATAACGTAATCAAAATACAGTTGAACATTTTTTTTATTCAAGTATGAATCTGCTTTCAAAGCTGCAGTAAAAATTTACCAGATTTCACTCTTTTACACCTGTGTTCAGATAAAAGGTTTTAGTAATTTTCTGCCACTCTTTTCAGAAATATAAAAATATTACTATATTCTTAATTTATTCATATTCCTCACTGTTAGTGTTATAGTGTGATAGTAACACCTATTTACACTTTTGAGCAGGTTGTACTACTATTTCGCATCCAGTGTTTAGGAGACAGTTTCTCATCTATATTTTCCTATTTACATTTTTATCTGGTATGCAACTTCAGGCTAACTGGCTGAAACGTAATAAATTTCTCTGACATACGTGTACGGCGCCTCCCGTCATGTGAACGGATAAGTGACGCTCATTGCTCTCTGGAGTCTCAGACATCAGCCTGAGGCAGTTACTGACTAACGGCTCCGTGTGGCGGCCAGCAGTCAGCCCTGTGAGCTCCTTGTAGGTGTTTACAATAGGATGTACGGTGTTTAATGCACTGAGTCCTTGAGTCATACAGCATGCCTTGAGCGAACTCAGTGAAACACTTCTAGTGGAGATTTGTTCTGTGTCATTTAAGCTCTGATCGGGGTGTAGGTGGGGGGAGTTTACTGTTAAAAAAATTCTCTATTTGGTGAATTCGTTCTACTTCTGAATAGCGTTCCATTTGCATCAAATTATCAAAGCTGTCAGTCTTTCTTGGAGTCAACGTTTTATCACACCGTTGCGCTTCCCCACTGCAGCCAGCTGCCTCCGAGCCATCCCACGGCTCCACTGGAGCATCTCAAAGAGCCGCTGGCCTACATGCGTAAAGCTCAGGTCAGTGCGTCTCCTCTCGTCTCCGTCACTCCTTTGAATTCCATCTTCCTCTCGTTTGCTTTGTCTTTTTCGTCTGCTAATTCCCAGAGATGTAAAACCCTTTTTTGGGCTGCATGTGTGTGCGCAGGCCAGCTGGGAGAAGCGCATCCTGAAAAGCCTGAACAGCATGAGCACGGAGCTCGGAGTGCCTCTGGCCCGTAAGGTAGGGGAAAACGCGGCCCGTCACAGGTAATACCGCTAAACTGCAGAGACTTCCCCAGTGGAAAGGCTCTCGTAACGCTGTATTTGTTTTCGCCAGATGGTAACCAGACTGTCGTTTTTTTTTTTTTATCTCCGTGTTCTTTTACGTGCACACAACTGTATTTAAACAGAGCCAAGATCTGTGTTCTGCGGTCCGCGCGCTGTTTGTTTTGTAAAGACCCCGCTGTCCCCTCCTGCTCCCACAGAGGCCCGGAGCCGAGCAGAAGGAGTTCACCAACAAGTGGAACGAGATGGGCACGGATGAACCAGGTCTGCAGACATTACCCAGGGTTTTGGCCCCTGCACTCATCTGCCCGCTATGACGGATTGGTGTTGATGTGTATGCATGGGCTGGCGCATTTAGCATCAGCTTAACAACTTGCCATGTTGTACAGAACCAGATCTACTACTTCTGTGTTTGCTTTGTGAGCTATATTTATCCAAGAGAGCCAAGGTTTTTCTAGCGACTGGCTTGTTAATGAGGAATGTGTCCATCGATTATGATTCTTATTGCTTTACTCAGACTTAAAATATTCAGACTTCAGAAACGTCTTAGGCAGAGTTCAGTGACTTGCAAAAGTAAAACAGATTAATTCAATGTTTTCTATAAGGTTCCAACTATAAACCCCAAAGGTTTTAGTGGGATTTTAGATGACAGGTCAAGACAAAGCGGTGAACAGTGATTAAGTAAAAAGATGTCCAGGGTATCTGCATCTGTTAAAAGTTTTACATTTATGTATCTAAAATTAAAGCCTTAAGATGTCTTAAATTAATTTAAAAAAGCAAAGTTGGTGAAATCTGCAGACTCCTTGGATGTATGTCTGTTTTTGATATGCATCTACCGGATGTGAATACCGTAGTTACAGACAGCAAATTTTGCCCCTTTTTTTAAACTCTCGCTGCCTATCCTCAATTGTATTTGTCTCTGGGCTTTGACTGGGCCGTTTCTGGCACGTTGATATGCTTTGATCTGGACTATTTCATTGTAGCTGTCTATCTCACTCAGTCTCCAGTCTTTCTGGGCTTATTTCCTTGGTCTTCACAATGTTCAAGAATCTTCACAGGACAGCTAGAATTGTACTAAAATCACTCATTGGCAAACGCTATTCGCCGATTAGGAGACTTTTGAGTGCATGACCGGAATCATAAAAAGTTGATTTTAAAACCTGATCAAATGCGCTGGTTTTGGTTAAAGGTTTTGAACACTTTCGGAAGGCAGTGTACTTTGTTGTTAAATTTTGGATTTATTAGCTCTTTCCTTTCTCCTTGTTGCTCAAAGCCAGCTCCCTTCCAGAGAGCAGGCCAATCTTTTAGTCCTAACAGTGCTATCACAACTCAGGGACATATAATAACATTTAGGATGTCCCCCTTCTCTGGCTGTAAACATTGTGGACTGCGAGTATAGAAGCTGTCCAGACCTCTTGCACAGAGTTGAGGTAATGGCTGCAATACCCTGCTTCCATCCCAAAAGTTAAACTCCATCCTTCCCT